CAGCATCAGCATCAGCAGCAGCAGCAGCAGCAGCATCAGCAGCAGCATCAGCAGCAGCATCAGCTTCAGCTTCAGCAGCAGCAACCTGCTCCTTTCTCTCTTCCTCCTCCTCTCCTCCCCCCAGCCAGCAGACCCAGCAAGCCCCACAGCAGCAGCAGCAGCAGCAGCAGCAGTTCAGTTAGGAGAGCAAAGAGGCAGCACAGGAGAGGTAGCTACCCACGCCACCGGCCCTTCCTCCACGTGTCCTCTCCACCGTCCTCTGTTGGTCCACTTCATTACCACAGGCTTTGAGGAACATTTCATCCTGCATCAACTCACCTTCGTTTGTCTCCAGGTGTCCACGGGCTGCGTTCACACTGCTCCACTCTCGTCTATAGTTACAAAAACAAGCTGCTGTTTGTGCAGCGACGAGGGAGGAAGAATAGATTCTCCAATGATTTGACACCAGCTTTTTAAAATCAGACTTTCTGAAAACTAGCACCAATCTCTCTGCTGCCCCCCCCCCTTTAGTTTCAGTCCAGTTGCTGCCGTCAGTATCAGCTGCTCACCCACCATGAAGCCCTGCACGTCCACAGTCACAGGTCTCAGTGAGAACTTTTCTCCCTGATCATCGTAACAGAAAACAGGAGCTGGGACTCTGACAAATGTGGATTCATGCAAACGCTGCTTTAGACTGAACAGTAACAGTAGAATATATATATATATATAATATACATTTTATTTGTATTTCATTATTGAGAAGACAGTGCAGGTGTAAAATGAGTAGAGTTGGAGAATGACATGCAGCAAAGGGCTGGAACCAAACCTGCAGCTGCTGCAGGAGGATTCAAACCTCCGTGTGCCACCAGCTCAGCGAGCGGGCGCCCCAATCATTAGAATATTTAAAAAATCTGTCATGAGTGACAGGATTATTTTCACTACGTGTCTGCAGGAGAAACAGCGGAATAACAAACTGATAGAAAACTGGAATAAATGAGTGGACCGGCTTCTGATCAGGATACGTCAGTAGATCCAAACCCAACTTAAATTAAGTTTAATTATGATTGTTAGTAGGATGAACCCCTGGAGATCAATCATCTAGTTTTCAATGTCCGTCCTTCACAAACGAGAATTTCCACCAAAGACTTGATGTTAGATTTGACTTTGATTTTCGACTCATCTGTATAGAAACGAATCACTGTGTGGACGATCATTTACTTCTGCTGCAGGACAATTCACTGATTTGCAGCTGGACGTCCTCCACCCCCACTGTTTGACACGTCCAAACGTCAGACGTAGAATTATTTCTCAGCTGCGAGAAAACGTTTGGAAGTTTGTTCCCTAAACAGACTCGACGTCACTCGTGTGTGTGTCCTTGTGTCCTTGTGTCCGTCCCTCAGGCTGCTCATTGTCATTTTTCATTAACACTGTGGTTCGTTGTCTTTTCATTCATTCAGAACGACTCTTCGGCTCCACAGTTTATGTTTTAATGTTAATATTCATCATAAAGTTTGTGACAAATGTTTAACAACAGTGTTTGATATCAGGAAGAAAATGATTTGGTGTCATCAGTCTGGTTCTGTGGTTTCTTCAGAAGTAGAACTTGGTATCGTATCTTTCCTGCCTCAGCTGGTTCTTACTTCCGTCTCTCCTGCTTTGTGCCTCTTCCAGCCTCGGCTCAGAGACCCGAGGACGTGATTCAGCGTTACATGGAGGTGGTGGCCGGAGTCCCAGACGAGGTAAATGTTGAACGCCACAGATTATTATAATTTTAAAGCTCATGTGTTAAAGTTTAAAGTTCAAATATAAATATTCCAACATTTTCATTTAGTGAATGAGACACTAAACACAACACTTCCTCGTGTCCCCTTCAGGACTGCATCATCTGCATGGATCAACTGTCCAATCCGTCCGGCTACGAGACAACGGCCTCCGATGACGGCGGCCAGAACGTCCTTCCAGACACCGTGGGCAAATTCATCAAATGTGGACACACGCTGCACATGCTCTGCATGCTGGCCATGTACAACAACGGAACTAAGGTGCCAAACTCAGCCGCTCGTGTCTTTAATTATGTGGACAAAGGTCAAAGATAAATGATGATGATGATGGAGGACTTGTCTCATCCCTGCTGAGAGGAGGACGAGGAGATTGACACCACTGTCTTGTCTGTGTGATAAGTTCAAAGCTGCTTTCAGGAGCAGATCAAAGCTTTAGAATGTGATGAATATTCCATTTTATCAAAGTCTAACATGGAAAAGTTCAAACAAAACAAGTGTAACACGTGTTGTACACGTGTTGTACAAACATACATGAAGTACTGTGCGTAGTGAGGGAATGGAGAAACAAGCGGATCAATACGTATCTGATCTGTGTTTCCCTCCAGGACGGCAGCCTGCAGTGTCCCTCGTGCAAGACAATCTACGGAGAGAAGACCGGCACGCAGCCCAAAGGCAAGATGGAAATTTACAGCATCGCACAGTCGCTGCCCGGACACCCAGACTGTGGCACCATCCAGATTATCTACAGCATACCTCCTGGCATACAGGTACTGCTGCTCCCTGCGACACAACTCATGTCTGAGCACCGGGTCCCAAATACCGACCCGTGATTCAAACACATCCACAGAAATCATTTATCTTCTTTGCAGAGCTGCAAACTCTAAAGCATCGTGTGCGTTTTGATAAAAGCTGCGGTTCTCACACAGTTCAACGTGTCACCCACAAGGAGGAGGCAGCTGCTCTCTGCTGAACATCACGGAGCCGAGTGAATTCAGCCAGCGAGACTTTAAACGTGTTGATGTGAATGTTTTCTCGTGAATCTGTAGATTATCTTCAGCGACAGGAATTTCATTTCCGCAGCAGCAGCAGGGCTTCTTCCATTTGAACAGACCGATGTCCAGAATCAGTTTGTGTAGAGTCGTCTCCTCCGTCTCTTTGTGTCTCAAAGTGACGTCCTTCTTTATTACGTTCTTCTGGGAAAACCTTCATTTCTCTGTGAGTCCTGCTGAAACCACAAGTGAAGACAAACTGCAGCATCAGTTCCACTGATCTCAAGTCTCCGGAACTCCAACCTGGTTTGTATCGAGCTGTTGCTCCGCTGCTAACGATCTGCAGATGCCACAGTTATTAGATTATTTTTATGGTTCCAACTGATGTGAACTATTAAACTTTATAACTTTTCCATTCATTTATCAGTTTGTTTGTTTCTTTCCTCCTCCTCCTCCAGGGACCAGAGCATCCTAACCCCGGTCAGCCGTTCACCTGCAGAGGCTTCCCTCGCTTCTGTTTCATCCCCGACAACGACAAAGGCCGGAAGGTACAAAACTAACTCTTCTCACAGCGGAGATTAAATCTAGAAACAAGAGAAACAAGACGCATCATCGGGATTTATTATTTCCTGCTCGCTGTAAACGTTGTTTCCGTGATGAATTATTTGCTTTTATTCTGATGAATACGTAAAAGAAGTTTAAGTCTCATCATCGCTAACGTCTGCTCCTCGTCTCCATGTTGAAAAGGTGCTGGAGCTGCTGAAGATGGCGTGGATGCGGCGCCTCATCTTCACCGTGGGCACATCCAGCACCACCGGGGAGCCGGACACCGTGGTGTGGAACGGGATCCACCACAAGACGGAGATGATGTCCAACTTGTCGGGCCACGGCTTCCCTGACCCCAACTATCTGGACAATGTTCTCTCTGAGCTGGCGTCTCAGGGCGTGACAGAGGACTGCCTCAAAGCTCCAGGCGGTGGCGGCGGCGGCGGCGGCAGCAGCTAGGCCACAGCCCCGGCTTCACGCGCTTCCACTCAGAGCTGACCACGGACGTTACCCTCAAAAATCCACCTCAGAGGCCGGTGGACCTTCTTCCACCTCCGTCATTTAGTAGAAGTCAGCGTCTGCCCGGATCTCGTTGAGTGAGCGAAGGCGGAGAAGTTGACGACGCGTCACGAAGCTTCTCTGCGAAGCTGCACGGCGGAGCACGCTCGCTGAGAACCACATTCCCACGCACTACATATTCCAGGACACTGAACTCGGAGATCAACACGTCCTCGGACCGTGAGCGTCTTTCACTAAACCTCCACTAACTGGAGACGTCTTTCTCTTATGTTGTTTTTCCATTAAGCCTCGTTTGTCTCCTCGGACGGAGCATCAGAGCCGCGCTGAAGAAAACTAAATCCTGAGATGTCGACAGTTACGAGTCTGAATGTTTGAGAATGAAATCAAAATCTTTATGGTCGTAAATAATATTTAAGTTGGTTCACGACTTTGAATCCAGGAGCGAAACTTTTTTTTTTTTAGAAAGAAAAGTTTCTTTTTCTAGAAATATCGTGACTTTCCTCACGAACACGTTTATCTCACGTGTGTTTCACTCGTCCCGTAATAACGACTTCTGTCTTGTTTTTTTTTATTCTCGAAATCCCTCCTTCAGTTAGTTTCCTTCAGCGAGGCTCTGACGCTCCGTCATCGTATCCCGTCGTCAGGTTACCATGGCAATGGCAGCTCTCACTGGGGATAAAATCTCATGAAGCACTTTAGTTCTGACATCAGTGCATTTAGCTGAGGTGTGTGATTTCCCATTCAAGGGCAGTTCACCTGTTTCAAATTGGGAAATGATGCAATTCAAGTACAACGACACTAAAACCTAAGTAGCAAAGTGAGTATATATGAACCCGTCTGATGAGAAGGGGCAATACTTTACTGTTGTAAATAAAAATAATCATGAATGAATTAAAAATATGTAAACAGACAGGTTGTGTCCACAAACGGCAGGAAGGAGGATAAAGTTGTATATTTTGAAACATGAACTTCTAATTTGACGTCTGTTGTCACAGTTTATTTCCTGATTTGATGAACAGACGTTTGAAGCACTCGAGTCTGGAACCTCCCGCTGACGGACGTTTGTCTCTTAATGTTTGTGTTGCCGTGTGAGAAGGGACGAGGTCTCTCCTCCCCCCCCCCACACCCCACCCCCAAACAGACGGATCACAGAAATGAGAATAAAAAGTCTGGACAAGAACGTTTTGTGACAATCAAGGTCATCGAACTTGAACAAGACACGTGGAGCTGCGGCGGCGCCCCGGCTGCAAACTCACCTCCTGTACTCACATTATTCTGCGCACAGTTGCCGGACTGAGTTTTGACATGTAAACAAGCAAAACTGAAAAAAGTCTGCAATAAAGAAATGACGCTAAACGATTCATGACTCTTTTTTTTTTCCTCTTTCACTTCCAATAACAAGATTTTCACAGATTTCACAGGAAAAATCTGTGATTTGAATTTTAGATCTTAAAAAAAGTGAAGTCTAGTTGTGAGTGAATCTTCTGAATCAGCTTCAGAACCGAATGAGGAAAATGTAGATTAAGATCAAATGTGTAAATATATCTTTTAATTCAACCTGTGTCTGGAAACACTCAACATTTATCTGTGGTGGAAATGTTGAGAGGGACGTGTGAGTCTGGAGACTGAGGAGGGATGATGTGCTCCGGGCTCAAAGTACGTGAGGAGGAGAAGAGATGAGGATGAGGAGGAGACGAGAGCTGATGGATGAGAAGCAGCGAGAGGAAGACCAGACCTGAACCAGCAGAGTCTCACAGTCATTTGTACAAATCTCTGGTTTCAGTGAGGAAACAGTTTCTCGTGGACAGAAACACAACTTCATCACCAGAGAGTGAAAAAGAAAAAAAAGTGTCCAGGCTGCAGTTTCCTTCGTCTCCAGGATCGAAGTCGAAAAACATTTGTAAAGTTAAACGTGGATCTGAGGAACTTTTGTACTCGATCAAGAGAAACACATGAAAACACAGATTTAGAGACTTCGGAGCAGAAAACAAGAGAAAAACTACATTTAAAACTTCGTGTTAGTGAAAAAGCACAAACACAGAGTTTAGATTTCTACAGGTTCAAACAACTTCTCTCATTTTAAACTCGTCTTCTCTGAAGTCAGGAAAACTTCGCCTGAGTCACAACCAAAGATACGTTTCTTTTAAACAACTAAACACAGAGCTCAGATTACAACGAACCCATGAGGAGAAACTGAGCGACAGGATCCAGCAGATTTTATAGAGCAGCTCGAACAGGTGAGACGAATCTGAACCTGACGACGTCACAGCTGGAATCACTGAGCGAATTAACCATGATGCAACAGTTCAACCATTTAAATCAGATTCAAACTGTGAACTCTCTGATGTTCGTCACCTGAATATGTTTGATTTAAAAAAACAAAATACAAATATCAATGAAGTGTTTTCTGGGAAATTTGTAAAAATGAAGAAAGTGAAAAAATACTTGAATTCCTGGATCTGCCCTCTTTAAAAAAAGTTTACACCAAATAATTAAATCATTGAATGTTCAACTTTATTTACTATTAAAGCGTTAAGTCCTAAAACTGATGAAGTCTTCAATAATCCACAGAAGAAGAAAAAGTACATTTGTACATTAAAGTTTTTCAGACATAAGAAAATTAAATCATCGATGTGACGCTTCTTTCTTTGCTGATAATAATAAAATGTGTATGATTGTTTTTTCCATTTGGTTTCTCAGCAAATGAATCCATTTTATTTATTTACCAACATAATAGTTTTAAGCAACTGGTTAAAAAAGTCACGAGGTTCCGTCTTTCAATGGCTGAGGTTACTTCAGCAGAGACGATCCAGGCGATAGTCGGACTCCGTCACCTCTCTGAACGAGTAATCAGGTGAGTTCCAGAGCAAACGGAGCTGATGGAACCAGACTGGACGAAGGTTTCCGCTTGTTAAACAGCAGATTTAATTTTGGCCCAAAGGTCCCAAAACAAACGTTGGGCCTCTGACGGCAAACACTGAAGCTGAAGTTTCCCATGTGGCAAAATGTGAGTCTGCTGAAAACAGATGGGTTGACATGTGGTGTCTCTGTGACTCACTACAAGGGTCGTCATCATCGGGACAGTGAGGTCACACGCTGAGACATCTGAGGCCTCCGCTCCGTCAGTGGCATCGGATGTCCTCTGCGTTCGGAGCCTGAATCACAAACTCTGCTCTTAAATGAACTTTGATGGAAGTTCAGTTTCTCTCTGTTTCAAAGTGTTTCGCTCAGATCACCTCCGGTCACATCCTCTTCCCTCGAACTCACTCAGGGGAAGTTTTCACTTTCACCACATCGGTTTGTGATTCAACATCTTTCGACGTTACGAAAACTTTGCGTCACTTTTTCTGCAAAAAGATCAGAAAGAAAACGTCGACTTCATCATTTCTCTCGTCTCCTGACGTCGGCTCGTTTTTCCGCAGTCGCCACGAGATTAATTTACAAAAAGTCAAAATGCACAAAAACCTTTCATCGCTAAGCTGAAAAACTAAAAACCTGTGAACTCTCGTCTTCTGATCTGAGACGAGCTGGTCACAAAGCTGCGTCGTTCTTTTTCTCCCCAACAAACTCGACTCCGGTGGATTCTCGTTCGCGACGTGAAGAAACCGAGCTCCACTAGATGAAAGTGCAAGGCAACACATTTTATTTCAAAGGCCTAATTGGCGTTAAGGTACAGCATATTAAATATGGTTAGTCCAGAGACAGTCATCGGAGTAACATACCGTTCTTTCCTCTACATGATACATTCAGGCTGATTTCAAATCACATATTTTACACGTTGTTAATGCGCTAACATAAAAAAGCGTGTTTACGTAAAGGTCTTGTTTTTACTGCAGGTTCAACCTGTCGGGGGGGAAACCAGAGTCCATTTTGTCTCCTTTCATTTCTGATGGCTTACAGTCGCCGCCCCTCCCCCCCCCGACACCTCATTAAGACACTTGATTGCTGCTGTTTAATTGACTTCAGTGGTTACCTGTAGTGACGGAGTGGTGAGTAGCGTCTGCGTTAGTGTTGTGATAGTTCCTCAACAGAATCATGTATTTTACATCCCTGCACATAATGTTATATTTCAATAA